CGGACAGGAGGCCAGAGGCAGTTCCCTGCCAGCAGCCAGAGAGGCAGGAGCTCCCTAAGCCAGGATGCGGGAAGAAGCCTGACCGTAGGTACAGCTTATGGCAGCTCTCAGAGGCTTGAGCAATGTTGTTATAGCCAGGTGGCTTATAGTTATGTTACAGCCCAGGGGCTTGTGTTTTGTTGTTGGTTAAACCGGTGGTTTGGGAGAGGCTATTAGGGGTTGGAGGAGGCCTCATAGGGGACTCACAGCGGAGTGTGAGGACCTGAGCGCCAGTGAGGGCACAGCATATGGGGGTGCACAGACCCTAGCCCCAGAGAGGGGTGTCTGAGAAGCCCCAGGGTGGGTGTGGTGAGCCTAGAGAGGGGGCACTATTGAGAAGCCCTAGTGTGGGTGTGGCGAACCCCGGAGAAAGGGGCCACATTATTGAGGAGTCCCAGTGTGGGCACAGAGAGCCCCAGGAGAGGGCCACATTATTGAGGAGCCCCAGCGTGGGGTGTGGATGACCCCAGAGCAGCGGCCGCATTATAGATGAGACCTGGAGAAGAGGGCACAGGGTGAGAGGGGGCCGGGGAAAGCCCTAGCACCGGAGGGAGCATGTATCCAAGGAAGTAGGACCCAGAGAGCCCAAGAAGGGCCAGATAGTGATAGAGCTGAGACAACGGCTATTCCACCGGCGAAGTGTGGACTGCAGTGTAGGGGAGGAAATGGAGCTGCAGATAGCGCCCCCTGGCAGCAGGGCAGTATAAGGGCAGCCTCCTACTAATTAACATCAATCAATTAATTAACAGCAAGGCATGGCAGGCAAGAAGGCAGGCAGTTGCCCCAAGAACAGGTGTGCGGGCCCCACTTTAGCCCGGACCAGAGCAGCTACCTCTTACAGGCCCCAAAGGCATATCATTGTGTTACTGACTTGGCTAATAGCACAGTATGTAACATGCTGGAATGTCTCATCTGCCCAAACATCATAGCTAGGAATTTAATGGCAAGCTGAAAATGACTGCATGTTACAAGAGCATTAATGTGTGCCCAAGCACTGGGCTCTGGGCATGTTCCAGAGACAGCGAGTGCGAATGTGCCAGGTACCTGTTCACCTCCATGTATCTGAGGACTATACAAGTGAAAAAAATAACTGCTTTTCAAGAGAGAACATAAGGTGCAGCAGCTAAGCCAAGAGTGTGAGGACATCTCAGATAGTATACAAAGCCCCTAAGAGCACAGATTAGACAGGCAAAAGCTCTTACTTTATCACATAGGTCAGAGCCTTCAGTCTTTAGCTTGGACTGCAGAGAGGCTATTTCACTGGTTAGGACCTTGTGCTCAGTCTCCAAAGTTTTCTTGCCACTGTTCAGAGTGGAGATGTCTCGTGACTGCTTGTACTTGTTCACTGCTTCATCAAAATGGCGGTAGAGGCCCAATCTTTTGTTCACCAGTGTGAGAACTTGTTCTGTAATGCAAGCAACCTTCATCCTGGCTTCAGCAGCTGGGTCCTGCAAGGGGCAGGAAGGAAAACAAGACAAGCATTTACAAGGAGCCTGGAAACAGCCAATTCCTTTCATGCTGCCCTTGCCAGATAGCACTAGAGTAGCAAATAGGTTTAAAATGCTCCAAAGGATAGTTAAAAATTAAATTGGCACATTTTCAACAGGCTTATAACACAGCAAACTGCAAAAGCTGGCTTTTGCAATCAAATGGGAGAAACCCCTTTTCTCTAGCACCTTATCCCCAAAAGTGTTAGAAGTATAAATGTAATACGAAGTGAAGAACGTGAGTATCTAATCACCCAGCCTACCTCATAGGTAAATAAAAACAAGGGGAAATGGGGAGTCCTAAGCAGACTGATTCAGGTAGGCTTGTTTCTCTACGCCAGACTCTTTTACTTGGAAACTGAAGTATGGAAGACCCCTCACGCAGCTAGACAAACTCAAAAGGACTTTACATATTCAACCACTATGGGAACAAGGGGCCACTGATGGACAGAAATATCCTGTTGGAAAGAACATTCAGCAAGTGGAATTTTTCTCATAGATACTTTCCCAACTATCTTCCCCCACAATGACCGCAGCCTACTGTACAGCACCTTGGTGATGGAGAAGTCCAGTCTCACATAGATGATCACAGTGAAGAACAGGATGTAAAAGGCTCCTACTACCAAAAGGGGCTCCTGCAGCATGAGGATTTTGTTGAAGGTGTAATGCACCTAAAGAACAGTGTAGAGAACAAAGCAGTGACTGACCTTGCTAAGGGAGAAGCCTCAGGCACAGAAAGGTTCCTAAAACCCAAGTGCAGCAACATGGAAGTGGAACATATCCAGCTCAGCTATTACTACTGGTCAGGAACATGGCTTGAGGGAATGCCATAGTTTGCATGTCACTCCACAAGTACTCTTAAAGCTGCAAGCTGAACACTACTGTGACTCCCCAGGTAAGCATGAAGGAGACAGGTGAAGTCAATTTACCTCCCTGTATAAAAGGCCAGCCTACCACAACATCCTGGATGTGCTGCTCCACCATGTTGTTCTTGTGTGCCACAATGACAGGGCGGCCAAACGTGTCCAGGTAGGTGTAGTGGAGCTCATCAGCGGCTCGGTTGATCTCATAGGGACTGTCCACATGGATGTTCCTACAAGTAAAACCAGACCCTTTCATGTGAGCCCAAACTGGCTGAGATGGCACAAGCTAAGATTCAGCTGACCAGCCACATCCACAAACAATTATAGTTAGAGACTGAAAATGCAGCCAGTTAAGAAGTGTTTTATAAGTTAGAGGCTGCATTCCAAGGTTCCTTCCACACTCATATTAGCAGTTGTGTTCTGTAGTCCTCAGACCATAACTGGAAGCAGGAGACTTGGCCATCAGCTTAAAGGTGCAGCAGCTCCAGCAGTAACAACCCAGAAGCAGTAGCACTTACTTAGCACCTTCTGGCAGGATGATCTTCACAGTCAGAGAGTCTGTTACTTGCTCATCAAACACATGGTCAACGAACCTCATCTTCAGGGCATATTGATCACCTGAAAGAAGACACAGGGTAAAGATAAGACTCCCTGGAAGAACAAGAAGAACCCCAGTGTCCTTCCATTTCAACACTAGAAGCAGCAGGGTCAAAGACTGGGGTTGGGTGCATCCATCCACAGAGGGCTACTTCATTCCACTGAAAATGTTGAGTTTTAACCAGAAGCCAAGGGCTTCTAGAGGAGTCTCTGCAGCCCATGTGTACAATACAGGAGTACTAACTAACAACACACATAAGGAGGTTCCCCTATATAGTGTAGTCATCGCAGAGGGCCACCTAGTCCCTTGATACCCACCGAGGTTGTAGAGGTATTCATAGCTGGGCAGGTTGTAGCCAATGATATAATGGGTCTTCCAACCCCCAAAAAGTGGGAACCGGGGGCGGATCTCCATCTCCACAGAGTCATCCAGGATGAGCAAGTGGCTGGTAGAGATGTTTCCAATTTCGTCTCGGTAATACACATCCTGAGCCGCCGCAGGAAGAATAGTCTGCAGGGGAGAGAGAAGCAGCACTCAGTGCCCTGGCTGAAGACAGAGGACTACCTTTAGCACAGACAAAGCAGTGGGGGACAACGCTTGGCTAAACTTCAGATGAGGCGTCTCCTCACTCGTGTTCTTATGCACAAAGCCACGTGACTGCTCAGCTGCATCAAGGACTAAGGGAAGAGATCAGCAGCAGTGACTGCCAATTAGCAATGGACAAGGAAGCTCTATAGCAGGGGTAGGCAAAATGCAGCCCATGGGCCGGATGTGCCCCGCCTGCCATTTTATCTGGCCCATGAGGCCCCTAAAAATTTAGAAAAGTTATGTTAATCTGCCTCTGGCTGCCTGACATGCGGCCCTCGATGGCTTGCCAAAACTCAGTAAGTGGCCCTCCACCCAAAATAATTGCCCACCTCTGCTCTATAGAATAGCTCAGCCTATGGCTCCATAGTCAAAATAGGGCTGATCCCTACAGAACATTAGTGGTGTTTTGCCCAGTCCTGCGGCAAAATCCCAAGCAACATGGGTCCCACTGTTTATCCCAAATTCATTCCTGGCTGGCTGACCCTGGAGGTCCAACTTAATTCCTCTCTTTTAATGGTCAAAAGTTGCCTTGTTACAGTGGATCCAGTCAATCCCAAACTGGCATCAGTGTGCTAGGCATAGACAGGCAAAACCCAAATGATTTTGCTGAATGCTGAAGTGGGGAAGCAATGCATGGAGCCCATTGCGCCCAATTAACAAAGCCACAGCACTGACCACCTCTGTAATTGTTCACTAGTCAGAGAATGAGTTGATAGTAGCCACTGCCACCTCTCATCACAGCACTGGCAGGTGGTGTAGGTGAAGAAGGAATGAAGAAGCAAAGAACCCTTGCCACTGACAGGCTGGAGTGGGGGAGAACTCAGGAGCTCCTGGCAAGAAGAACAGGTAAAAGGTTGCAGAAAGGCACTGAAAGAGAAGGAGGCTGGCACATAGGGAGCTTGTACAGACAACTGACGGGTGTTTGTAATGAACTCAACCTACAGATGGAACAAAAGGTAAGATAGTCCAGTGAGATCTACCCCATGTTCTTCCCTCTCTGGTCATTATTGCCTGCAAATATAGGAAGCTTTCTGCATTCCCCCCACCATCATCATTTGTGCAACGTTGCAGAACAACAGAAGCAAGGGCATGGGCAATGCAGTAATAAGACAGACAGCCCCCAATACAAACCTTAAAAGATTTGACAGAAGAGATTCCACTGTCTGGCTGTCGCTGGTAGTCATATCTGGAGAAAGGCCCCTTGAGCACAGCTCCTGTGTGCTTCAAGTCAACCGTTTCTTCTACAGCAATGTTCCCCCAATGTGACACTTCTATGACCCGTGTCATGCTGGTGATGGTTAGGAAGGGGCTGTTATTTTCATAGTGGACCTTCAGGGTGTCCTAACAAGGAGAGAAAAAGTTATATGAACCCAGAGTAGAAAGTATCTGAATCCTAGCCTTTAAAAAAAAAAAAAAAAAAAAAAAAAAAATTCCTGCCCAGTCCAATTCTAGATTGAGGCATTTAGCTTGGTGAAATTAGTCACAAGGGGCATTGAGGGATAACTTTTTGATGGTTACAGGAACTAGTTACCCAATGCAGGGCCTACACTGCACTTCTGTGTACAGCTCAAAGCTAATGTGTACAGCTCAAAGCTCAGTTGGAGCTCTGCTCTGAAGCTCAGCAGATATCAATCAGAGCACTTTACCACAAGAATGAAATGAAAGTGCTGAATGCATCTGCTTAGGTTTCATGAGAATACACGGCAAATTAACAAGGACAGATTCATGAAGCTCCACAGGTACTAAGATTTCATGTGCTGGGACAGGCAATATTCACCTGCAGCTAGGAGTTCAGGTGCCTAGCTGAATCTTGTCTTGGTGCCAAATTTAACTGGGAAACTTGCAACAAGAATGCTGATGCTGGCTATTAAAGAAAATCCATAAGGAGCAGGTCTGTAGGTTAAGAAAATGTCTCCTCTCCGGACTGTCCCACAAACTTCCTCGACAGAGAGGGATTCAGAGAAGCAAGTGTTTGCACCTCAGCATCTCATTGCCAGCATCTCTTCTTGATTTCCAGAATGGACTGAGTGTTGCTGAACTGACAGCCCCAGCTGGAAAGCTCCTCTCTATACCTGGAGCAGGTAAAAAAGGCAGAAGTTCAAGCTTGCCACAAACATCCAGGACTGGGAAAGACCCCTCCCTATGGGATCCCTACTGGCAGTGTCTACAGAGAGGCCAAATCCAGAAGCAATTAATCCCAGTGCAGTGGCTTTGTCCTACAGGCACTTGCCCGTTAGGAACTGAACTTAAACAGGCCAAACTCAGTTTGCTTAGAGTCCTAGTGGAGATATAACCTTGTTCAGACTGGAATCTATGAAAGAAACAAAAGCCTCCATGCCCCAGCCTCAGTTCCCAGGGCTGTAATTCACATTTACAAGGTGGATTCTTCAGGGGAACAATAGGTCCCAATCTACTTTCAGAAGCCTGTAGCAGGTAGGATTTCACTTGCCAGAAGTGCTTACCTGGCTGTAAGGTGGGATGTCCTTGAAAGGCCCATACTCTAACATATCCTCAGACCGGGAGGGATTACCCAGCTTGGTATAACTCTCTATGTTCCTAGAGGCCAGCTTCACACGCATAGTCTGGGTCTTGGTTGGGTACGGCGAATAGAAATAGTGATTCCCTTCAAAGACCACAAACTGCTTCTCGGCCTGTGTGATGTGCGTGGGGTAGGGCTGCAGGACGTGTGTGAACACCATTTCAACAGACACCCGGATCTTGGCCCCTGGTGCCAGAGGAGATGGCAACTTCACGGTGAAGAACTTTCCACTGGAAAGAAGTAGAGCAGGAAAGATGTGAATGTCAGGATATCTACCTGCCTGAGGCTCCTCCACAAGCTCCTGGAACACATGCTGTGGAGGGACTTTGGAAGCGTTCCACTCGTTCTCAAAGGGGCCCCGCTACAGGCTGGGGAGTTTGGTGAGTCTTACAGGGTGAACTTCAAAGCAGAACTCTCCTGATAGCCTGCTAACTTGCTCCTCAGCATACACTTACTCCACTGGATTGAGGAAGTTTACATCTAACTGGTGATAAGGTAAACCCAGGAGGTTTTTCTGAGTGAGTCAGAACCAGGCTCCTTCTGGGCTAGGGGCTACAGGATCATCTGATGCTGCAGAATTTGCCATGGCGTGGTTTCCCCCACATTACCACCAAAACTAGTAGCTGTGCACGCAGTGCTCAGCACAGTCCCTCTAGACCCCTCCCAGGGGCATGAATATTTCTTCCACATATGTCTCTAATTAAAGGAATGAGAACGCATCGCTGAAGTGGTGTGACAGGAGAGCTCTGGAGGAAGCTGAGACCCAAGGGACATCCCTACAGACTGCAGGACAGTGGAGGCCAGGTGAAGCTCCTGAGCCTGATTTGCTAAATGCTGCACAGCTGTACACCTAATTGCAGCCTTTATAAAGACAGAGCAGGCTGTAGGAGGTAAGGCTATTAGAGGGGCCTCTTTCCTATACTGCCTGGGAATCTAGCTGTGTGCTATCTGGTTTAGGTTTGTATATGCTTTGATTCACTACAGTACTCAGCACAGAGATAGAGCACCACAGGGGGCACTGATCAAGAGTGTTTTTTAAAACGGAGCAAAAGAATCTCCTACCACATGGGGTTGGGAGTGGGACTGGTGTCAGCATCATGTGTTAACTGTACTCTCCTACTGTTCTACAGCCACACAACAGGAAGGCTGTAGCATGAAGCAGAAAGTGGGTCACTGCAAAAGTAAAGGACACCAGTGTCAACAAGACTAGTACTGGGGCTACCTTAGGAGCTGTGAAAGAGTTGCTGATATAGCAGAATCAGCAG